GACAATACAAATAGTAATACCCTCATCCACACCCACACTCACATGCGTCGAAATAAGTTCAAATTAGTTTTTTTTTTATTTTTATTCTTTAGTTTAGTAGAGAACCTTTTTCTAATTTGTGACAAATTTTAATTATCTTATTTGTTAACTCAGTTTGAATTTTATTAAGTAAATATGATAAAATTGAAGGATGATATAGATGTCGATCATTAAGATTTAAGATATAATCTATAATTATCATCGACCATACTTTATGAGAATTTTAAATCTGTATTTGAGATGAACAGCCATATTAGTTGACTAGTACTCATTGAGAAATTAAATCATTTTCGAATAATGTTTTTTATCAATAAAAACCTGGTATTTTTTCCTTTGCATTATTGACTAATTCAAGCAAACGATATTACAAATTTCATCTTAATGCTGCAAATTTATTGAGATTAGCTTTTTATATTGGGGATTTCTTTTATTTATAGGATTCTTTCTTCATTTTATAGTGCTTTTCAAGTAAGAATAGACATATTTAAATAGATAAACTACAAATATCAATAAAAACCGCCCTAAATCTCGTTTCATTAGATATTTATCAGTTGACAAATGTCATTTAAGACATTGCTTCTTCAAATTCGTATTGTGTCGACACAAAATAGATTGACTTTGTCGTATATTTTCTATATACTTTTAAAAAACTGATCCTATAGTTTATTAACAAAAAAGCCTTTTTTAACTAAAAAAATTCATTCGAAATTTTTCGAAAACTAATCATGTCATTCGATTCTCCGACCCGTGAAAACCCTTGGTCAAAGATTACAGTAGGTAGATGTAGAAAAGAACTGACCATCAATCTTTCACACGATGTTTTTTTGATCATGATACATACATACATAGAAACGCATTTTATTTTATATGACCCTACCTTCAGACGAAGGAATACTATTAATAAATCGATCAATAGATTACATTATTTTTATCCATCACAACCTGAATAAATTCTTTTCAAATTTTATTTATAAAATATATATATTTTTTTATCGTTAATAACATCAATAAGAACAACAATAATTTAAGCATTTGGATATAAAGCTAAACTTCCATGAAGACGATCAGAGATATTTTTCTTTGTGGAATTCATTTTCCAATATCAATAACAAGACGAATAGGTATTATATGTAATAAACGATTATTTAGATCAAATGGTGAATTAAATACAAAATACCAACAAACAATAGATAATATACGATACTGATCATCTATTAAATCTTTTACTGGACTTTCATCAAATAAAAAATTTCATAATATTGAATCTGAAAAGCAAAGAAACATCGTTGATAACCAATATTATTATGGATGATGATGTGTAAAAGTTGCTGTGGTTAAATATGAAAAATTTTATCTTATTATAAATATTATAATGATATAAAGAGACAGACAACTCTATCCTTTTCTCTCTCACGACGGACAGAAGTCTCTATTACTATTTACCATAGACAAGAAAAAGCAAACTAGAGGTTAAACTATCTCTCATTCACTCGCTTTCTAAGCACATCATGACATATTATAATGAAACTATTATCTTCATTACAAGTTTATCAATGATATTACCTAATAACTTATTAAGTCAAAGACCTTTTCTTTAATCTATATGGAAAAGACGAATCAATATTACCGATAATTCTTGGAAAATTCTTCGAGTAATTTATAGAAAAATATCATTATTTTTGTTATTAAGTAAAAAAAAAGTAGAAACTTTTTGTTTCTATCAGCTTCTTAAAAAAAAACGAAAACCTTGAAGACTATAAATCTATACTTTTTATTAGTTACAAATATTCAAAAGATATTCATTTTGTTTATGATGAAATATCTAAAGATTGAGAAAATAAAAAATGAATTAATAGCTATTCGACAATATTTATCATATGTTAATCTTTGATAATTTAGGACTGAAAGAAAATTACTTCTCTTACGAATATCGAGGGTTTGTCAGAACTAACTCCTTATCTACCATATTTTCCTTACGATAAACAACTGTGAGAAGTTTTAATCAATAGATAAGCGTAATGCAGAGTTTATGCACATCAACCAGTAATTGTATCATACATCACACTGAAAAAAAACATGGTACGATACCCAACCAAAAAAGGTATTTTGAACAAAAAAAAGGTTTCGTACATCGTACGGAACCTAAAAAGGTTTCGAATTCGTTGCAATTCTCTGTACCATTTTAGGTTCGGTACAGACCACTTCGAAAAACTTGAAAAAGTGTCCTGAGTCAATGACAATCAATTTTAGTCACCCAAAGTTTTGTACGAAACCTTTTGAGGATTTCGTATTGTCTTCCTAAATGGTTCCATAATCATACAAATTTTTTTGCAGCGTACCGAACCATTTAGGAAGACAATACGAAACTCGCAAAAGGTTTCGTACAAGACTTTGGGTGACTAAAATTGATTGTCATTGACTCAGAACACTTTTTCAAGTTTTTCGAAGTGGTCTGTACCGAACCTAAAATGGTTCAGAGAATTGCAACGAATTCGAAACCTTTTTAGGTTCCATACTATGTACGAAACCTTTTTTTCGTTTAAAGTAGCTTTTTTGGTTCGGTATCGTACTATTTTTTTTTCAGTGCATTATATAATAACGATCTTACTGAATAGAAACTATGAACCTAAGATAATTCGCTCAAGGTCATCATATAGTTTACCACATAAGAACCGACAAAACAGTCTCAAAAGGATGATACTAAATTTTATTTTTTTATTCAAACTCAATCAGGACTTATATTCTACTCGACATTTATTCTAATTAATATAAACAAAGAACTCTTCTCGAATGACTACCTTCTCAAAATCATTACTATGAATATTGCATGCATTCAAAAACCTATATAGACCTTAGAAAAATATTCTGAGGCGAGTGCCGAAAAAGAAACCTAGACGAAGAAAATATCCTATTATAACCTACGATGCAAAACTATCCGCACAAATGTCGAGGCCTGTAGCATTTCAACAGATGGTCTTAGAAATTTATTTCGTTGCGCAGTTAGATAGAAAAAAGTCTCTACCTTAAAATGCATAGTTTGAAAATAAAATTCGATGAAGTTAACATGTCTGAATTTAATTTATCCTAAAACTGCCAAAAATGACTTCTAACCTTTTAACTTTTTTCGCGCTTTTTTTAATTTCTAAACTGCCATATTTTCATTAACCCTTTGAGTACCGGATTATTTTTATATAATAAAAATTTTTATAATTTCAAACTAACGTTTATTTCGCAAAAAATATCACAAAGTACATGAATTAAAATGCTTGTAGAGTATGATAGTCTTTAAAACAATCCCTAAGACACAATCCTACGTCACATTCAATGAATTCATGTAATTTATTTCATAAAATAATCAAACGATAATGTTTTCTAAAGTTATTCAGACCCTAAACTATCAGGACGCGAATTCGCGTCGCCGGTACTCAAAGGATAAAACAATTCGCTAACGAACGGAAACTTATCAAGTATATAGTGTAAGGTGTGAGCTCTCTGAACGTATCACTCCAAATTTTTCGCAATTCCATAGCAACTCTCAATCAATTTTTCAAGCAAACACAATGCAATCAATCATTGAATATATTACATTCTATACTTTCTGGCAAGAAATTATCATATTTCTGAAAGTAAAAAAACATTTCAAACTTGTCCAAAAGATACAACTCTTACAGACATTTCATAATCCAAGGGAAAATTTCCATTTAGAAATTACAATCTTAATAATGTCGACAAGACATTCACTTAGGAAAAAGAGAGTGTTTTGGAATCGATTTCATCATCATTAGAGCCATTTATTACTTGGCGAGCCTATGACCGACTGAACTCCATTTTTATCTCAATTAAAGATCCATTGCTACTTAAGATAGGAAGTATCTCACAGAGTCGTTCAACTTATACAAAGGCATCATAGCACAGTACTTCCTTATTTAACTAGGTTACAGGTCACTTTTGCCAGTTTTTGGATAAATTAAATTCGCACATTTTAACTTCATCATTTTTTTTTCAAATTATGCGTTTTAAAGCAAAGACTTTGCTCTATCTAACTACACAAGAGATAAATTTTAACACTTTCTATTGAAATGCTAGAGGCTTCGACATTTTGTGCGGATACTTTTGCATCATAGGTTAGATCTCTATGACTGGCATAGACCTATATCGGGATAAAGATGAGCTATATAAAATTATTGTTGTTTTCATATCTGATCATAAATCAATTTGTTTAATAGAACTTTTAACTGTTAATGATAAAGATAATATCCTATTAATTCGTTGTTTATTTTAATTTTAATTAAACAATTTTTTAAAAATTCATCATAAACCATCTAGATATAGAGAAATATATGCTAGATTAGAAGTCTTAGCTTGTAAGATATTCTCTATGATCAGAAAAAACGTTATCATTCATAAGGATAACTTACTGAACGAATTCATACATTACTATTTATTGATTTTAAATTTGAAAAAATATTTGTAGATAATTGACGAACTGATATAAGACATGAAACAGTTTGACCATTACTTTATTCTGATCATTTATTTCCATATGATAATCTATATGTTTAAATTTATGATCTTAGCCGACAAATGATTAGAAATTCACTTATAATTATTATTAAATATAATATCGAAACAAATCGAACTCTCTAATCGTCTTATTACAGGTTATGCGCTTTAGAAGATATTCATCATGGAAAACTTGAACAAGATAAATGAAAACTATTTTTTAATTATATTATAATGGTATTCATGATGAAGATATATTAGAACAAACAACAATATATATCGAGTAGTTAAGCAAACAAAATTCTCAATATTTTAAGATGTTTTCATCGTATTATAAAAAAAATGAAATGTTTTTCGTTTATCATATATTTTCTTATATTCGTATAAAAAAAATGATACAACAAATATAAATACAAGAAATATTTTATAGAGCATGAAAAGAAAAAAAAGTAATTAAATTATGAAAAAGATTGTCCATAATATTGACGTAATTTTCTTATACCATTTAATATAACCAGTGCTTTATCTAATTTAATTTTCATTTTATGACATAAATGTCTTCCTGTTAATAATAATAATGCTCTACCATCAATATCATGTTCACGAAAAACTTCAGCATTAGTATTATTGGTTAATTTTTCAATATATTCTTCAACTTGAACGATTGACCAATTTTCAACATGATTTGATAAATGAAAATTTTCTTTTTCTTCTACATTTGTATTATTTAATGTTGTTAATTGATTATTAATATCATCAACTGGAAATAATAGATCTTTAAATAAATCCAAATCATTTGTATAAGATGAAATAGTATCATCAGTTTGTGTTGAACTATGAATATTTTTTTTGGAGAAGAATTTAATCGAATAGATTCAGGTATGATTATTGTTTTAGTTGTTGATGATAAATGAGAAGAATTTGTTGTTTCAGATAATCTTGAAGAAATAACTTGTAAACATTTTAATGGAATTGTTGATTGATTTTCAGTTGTGCATCTTATTGAAGAAATAGATCGATTAAATATTTGAGATGTTGATGATGATGATGATATAAATGAATTAGGAAGAATTGTTCTTGTTCTAGATAAATCAGAATACGAAGAACATAATAAATGATTATCATTTGAATGATCATTTATATTTGATACAGCTAGAATATTTGTTGATGATGATTTATCTATTATTGATGATCGAGAATAATTTTCTTCTTGTTCTTCTTGTTGTTGTAATGAACGATCATGATCAGGAATTATAGTCTATGAATTATAGGAAAAAAGAAAAAAAAACTAATTGATATAGGATATATCCTGATTTTAACGTTCCACACACTAAGTTAAAATGTGTCGCATGTGTCGTGCTTTGCGACACATTATACGACACATTAAAGTGCGACACGAGGAGCTCACTGCGACACATTTTCTCTAGCAGGACCACGACACATTTCGTGCGACACATGCGACACATTTTCTATTGGTTCTTTTGGAAAATCATATTTCGATGTTTTTTTTTTAATTTAATTCCATTGAATTATTCTAATTCTGAAAACTCAAGCTGGTCAGATCCCGGGATCTGTCCAATCTCGAGTTGATCCGATTTGTATCAGATCACTTCAGGGTAGTCCTCTCTCGATCATGGATCGAGATTGGCATTTTCTCGATAAAAAAAATAATCTAGAAATAATCTAGAAAATAAGAAGAATTTGAAATTTTTTTTTCTATGTTCAACCAAGTTGTTTATATATCATTATGTGTTGCATAATAAAACGGTGAATGAATAGTCAGCAGACAGAACGCGACAAATTCGTATACGACACATTCTAAGCACGACACGTTTTTCTGCTGAAGTGTACGACACATTTAAATTTAGTGTGTAGCTTTGATAAACAAAATAAAAGAATATGATATTTATTTTAGTTTATGTGTAAATGTCAGATTGAATTTTTTTTTTTCATTTTATAGATAAGGGAGCGTTTCAAAATATATTCCGGTCGGTCGGTCGTCGTTCCTTCATTCCTTTATTCCACCGTTCCGCTATTCCACTGTTCCTATATTTCTTCCTCATTCCACCACTATTCCTCTGTTCTGCTATTCCACTATTCCTTCCTCATTGCACCACTATTCCTCAGTTCCCTTATTCCCCATTCCTCAATTCCTTCATTTATCTATTCTTTTATTTGTTCTTTTCTCTATATCTCTATTGCAGAACATTTGATAATGTACCGCCTTCTCGTTCAAAAGTGAACTTTTTCTTTTATTTCACATCTTAAAAGAGGATTAATTACTCTTTGAAAGTATTATTCACTCATCAAACTATCGATTGCCAATCAAACTCAAAAATGCTCGTTCTGCATAGATAAATT